GAAGGAAGGAAGGAAGGAAGGAAGGAAGGAAGGAAGGAAGGAAGGAAGGAAGGAAATGTACTTATGTACATTTAGTTTATTTCAGTTGGGTCTTTAAATTAGGAGGTTAAGTCAAGCACGAAGAGGTGGGCCTTTGATCACCCAGTTGTAGCCACCATCTTGACTTTTAAACACCCCCTCCCCCCCCCCATGAATGACTTCAGTAGCTTGGAAATGTTAACAAGATGGAGGGTTACCACCATATTCTTTTCCCTCTTTCACACTTGCATCAGTGCATGCCTGAAGGGCACCAATGTTAATTGAATGTTGTTGAGCTAGTTAACATCCATTTGATGCAGGTTCACAAAGAGTCCTGCTAATTAAGTCTCGGCTTTGATATGTGATTTCAGGAACTTACTGGAAAATTGCCAAGAGAATATCCCCTCAACCCAGGGGAGGAGCCCCCAATTGTGAGAAGAAGAATTGGTACTTCCTTTAAACTGGATGAACAGAAAATGCTACCCAAGGGAGAGGTAATGACTCACTTTGTGTTATAGTGTCCAAATATTCGGTCAATACCAGGCTCTGAAAAGTCCCATCATCATTTCAACTATCTTTTTCTGCCCTTTTCCTATCTCTCCACTTATTTATTACCAGAATTGTGCATAGTATTGCTAGTGCAGCCATACTACAGGTTTCATATTGGGCTGGTGAGGGAGACCAAGCTGACATTAAAACCCAAACAAAATAGAGGTCCTGTTGATCAATCATAAACAATACTTGAAGGTCAAGTTCACCTCCACACCTCCTACTGCTGCTCGCTTGAAAGACCAGCTTCACCATCTGCAAATCTTCTCTAAGTTTGGAGATGGCAGTTAGGACAAGGATCCTTGAGGCAGATGGATTTGGCCGTTCTTCTCCCTGCCTTGGTCAAATCTTAACTCAACTCTTTCAGTGCACTCTGGTTGGGGCTATTCTTAATATTAACATTCCCTGGAAAATGCAGCAGCTATGCTAACCAGAATGGAGTAGATGGATCACGGGATGCAAGTTACATCTCCCATTACAAATGTGCCTTGAATTTTCAATCTGCTGGAGAAACCCTTTTGAAGGTGCCCCCAATATCTACCTTGCGGATATTAGAGGACCTTCTCCTGGTTTGGGATGCATATCAGTTAAAAATATTTGAAAGAGGTTTATGTTTATATTGTAGACCTGCATTTTTAAGAGTTCAGACATTCAAAGTTCTTTGCACGTGTTTTAATTATGGTAAATCAGACATATGCCAAGACCATAAAACATTGCTTTGTTTAATATGAAAGTGTGTGAAATTGATGTCTTTGGACTGCAACGAGTGCTTCAAATTTTACATTTTTAGCTGTACCTAAAACTGTAAAGTGGGATTGTAACAAACTCATATCTGTTCTTGCAGAATCACATATTTTGCCATAAGGCTGATTTTTACTTTTTCTCTGCTCAGAATGTTCAATGGCTGTAATGCTTTTCAAGTCCTTTTAGAAGTGTCAGACTCTTAGAACTGCAGTGTGAACTTCATCTACAATTCAAAGATCAAATGCACTTTTTTAAAAAAACAAAGCTTGAGCAGTGTTTTTAATCCTCTGCTTTCAGTGGATGCGGGAGATTTTTGAAGGGAGTGAGAGCAGAAGTGTGGGAATGGATGGGAAGGAGAAAAGCAGATCAGATTCTAACATTTATGCATTGTGTGAAATGTATATTTAATCAGCTCACTGTTGACAGAGATTATAAAATCTTCAAAGCAGAACTTTAAGCACACACAAATAACAGCCATTCAGCCAATAGCAACGCGAGAAGAGCTGTAGTTGCAGACTTAAAATAGTGCTGAATCATCACTAACATCAAAAGAACTTTTTGAGCTGAGCCAAGGACAGCATATTACCTTGATGAGGGATGAAGTCAAACCAGCACCAGCTCCTTCTGTCCAGATGCGCATAGATAAACTGAAATAGGAAATACCTCTTTGATGTGTAAAAGCCCACTTCCAGTCTTCAGTCACACTCAGCATGATTAGGAATAGGTCTGAGGGATAGAAACAGACCTGATTATTAATAGCTGTAAAGCACTGATTTCCTAACCACTGATTTCTTGGTGATGTCACAAAAGCATGTAGTTTTAATTGCTCCAGTATAATAGAGGAAAACTAAGGTGACATCTGAAAATACTGTTGTAAGGGTAGTCAACCCCCATGAGGTAGTCCTCTTTGACCAGAATTTTACCAAACACAGAAAGATGCCTTGCACGTAAGTAGTGTCCCTGTGTTCAGTAAGATTGGTAGTATGTAGATAAGACCTCCTTCCACACACCAGCCAACTGATGGGGACCTAAAAGACAATTCAGTACAAAGCTGTGATCTTATCTTGTTTGTTTGTTTGTTTATTTTTTAAAAGCGCTTAAACAAAAAAATGAAAAAATACAACAAAAAATGTTAATATGTCATTATAACAGTGAACAATTACAATTCTATATATACTTATCTAATGCAAATATTATTCAAGTATTTATTTCTAATACATTTATATGATGACCATGTTGTCATTTTTTTAACCTACAGTATTTTGTATAAATGAGTCCCATAGTTCATTATACCTGTCCATACAAAGTCTACATCTATAGGCAATCCACTTGTAAGTGGCAAGCACAATCAGGTCTTCAATCCATTGAGTGAATGGGGCCACACATTTATTTTTCCAATGCCGCCGTATCCGTCTTTTGGCCATT